GTTTTCATACATTGATATCTTTGTACAATCACTTCATTATTAAAATCGATAGGAAGTTGTGCAACATGCAAATAGTCTCTATTTGACATCCACATCAATGTTTTCCCCATCCCCAAGAGATTTTCTTTTATAAAATCTTTCCACGACTATTTTCACTATGAAGTAAACAAGAGTTAATTTAAGATGTGCCATATCATAGAAGAACGTCTAATACATACAACAGGATGAGGCAAGATAGAAGCAAAGAAGCAAAATAATCCAAACAATTCAAACTCACAGCCACATATTCATATCATATAGGAAAATAATCTAAAACTAATTCAAAAATTATGTTCCCTGGGAAAATAATTCTTTGCACAATATGTAATAAATCCTAAATAAGCAAAATCCTGAACCACGCCATCAAATCCCTTTATAGTTTATCTCACATAACAATCCAAACACAGAGATTCTTATCACATAGATGAAATTCCAAAAAAAATTGCCTAGAACTTGTTTTACTGGGAGCTATCAATTAAATGTGTTTGATTGATATAATTTTCCATCTGGAAAGTGTTGAAGTTTTGGATCTTTTGATGTTCATTTGACTTTATTTTTCATGAAAATTGTTAATTAAAGGGATAAAATTTGTTACAATTGTGGATAAAATTTATTTCCATTGTCCAAAAACAAAACTGGAAAACCATTTTCCCACCAAATCCATGGGAATTGTAATTCCGCCAAACCAAAGAAAATCAAGTCATGTGGGGGGAAGGAAAATGAATTGCCAAGAAAATTTTGCAATCAAACAAGGAAAATTGTGAAAAATTTTCCACGAAAAATTAAACGAATCAAACAGGCCCTAAATTCCATTACATTCTATTTTTTTTCTTTCCTATTTTCAACTATACAATCTTTCGTTAAAAAATATAACACATAAATCGAATTTTTTTCCTTTTCTTTCAACCACTCAGTTTTCATAAAAAGAAAAAATATCATTCCACTCATTTTCATTTTCAAAAATAGGGGTTAAATGGGGGTTGAATATATATTAAGAGCAGTGTTATTTATAGTCAACGACTATAGTTGTTATTGTGACATTTTGTTATTTGAGATAACGAAATTATAGGAAATTTATGCTTCAAATAACAAGCTACCACAGAGGATAATTGTTGCAGTATTTGATTATGAATAACATTATTCATATTATAACTGGTCTAAAATTTAGTCCTTGTTTGGTATAAAAATTTCAAGCCAAAATTAATAATTAATTTTAATCATACATTCCGCAAGATTCACAATTTATCAACTACACATTCTTCAATTTTTATCAAAATCTAATAAAAAATTTAATTTTAATTTATATCAAATAGGACTTGAATGGGTCTTCCATTTTTTAGACAATATAGTCTCACACAGGTAAATTTCGTACTGTAAATTAAAAATTCATAAAATTTGAATGAATAAAAAATAAAATCATAAAGAATTCGAGATACTCCTGAATTTGCCCTCTAATCAAACTTGTTTAGGGGTTCATTGTTGTTTATTAAGGCATAAAACCACGTCTGTGATGGACATACATGGTTTTATGCGCATTCTTTTCAAAGTCTCCATAGTCTTACCAATTCAAGCCAACCCTTTTAAACAAATGAAATTTAGCCAGTTTGGATTAACTAAAAATCATATTTTTAATTAATTTTGATTAAAATTAGTTTAGCAAAATTATATTTGCAATATATTTAGATAAAAATTAATAAAATTTATGATTGAAAGATTAACAAAAATGATAATTCCATGAAATATCAATCAAGAACTTACAGTGATTCTAATCAAACGAAAATTTGATCGGCAAAATTGGCATCTGCCCGTCGGATCGAACTGTTAAACCATAGGAAAATGAGGAACCAATAGAACTAGCCTGAAGTGCTTGCATCTTCTGAGTCATGCCCGGAGATCCAAGCAAGATTTTTCGATAGCTCCTCGACTTAGACCAGCCGAAGGAAAGATTGTAGGAATTCCTGATTCGCTTGTGGAGTAAATCATCATACACAAGAATCAATCAATTAGGAGAGAATCGATATATTTCATTGATACAAAAAACAAGTACACTTCATTTTATTCAATTCTCTTTGTCCAAATTCAAGGTGAATTAATTACTGACTTAAGCATCCCAAAGTTTCATGAAATTTTCCACTGCCCCTCTTCACGTGCTTTTCAACATGTCTATATTAAAAGGACAGTCGATAGAAATTGACATGAAAATTTGAAAGAAACTACCATAGTTTCTTGAACAAATTACTTTTAACCTAAAATAAACATGGGAAAAATTCACAACTCATGTCTTAAGTATGGACAATTCAAAAATCAGGGTTTTATGTTTAAAAGTGCAAAAATTATGTATTAACTAATTAATTAAATACTATAAGATCACAGTTATTCAATTAATGGTCACGTATACATAATTATATATCACAACTTATTTATTGGTCATAGATTATTTCAATGTCACAAATCAAAATTTTTATAAGTCACAATTTATTTCATTGTTTACAGATCCAAAAAAATTATAAGTCACAGTTTATCTATCGATCACATATTTTCAAATTTATTGATATCAAATTATCTCATTTTACGATCACAGTTTAATAATTTAGTCACAAGGAACCAAATAGTTGGTCATATATACCACACCCAACCTCAATTTCAATCCACCACCAATACTTAGTCACAAATACTATCCCCCATCACAACACCATCACAACCATCGTCAATAACACCAACACTCCAAAAACCAACAAACCCAACAAAAATATCTCAATATCGCACCACACATAGAGCCACCGTCAAGCACCACCATTGCACACAGAGCTACCATCAAACGTCATCCACCACCATAGTCGCCACCATCATGCACACACCTACAACCACTCTGAAAACCAATAAACCCAACAAAAACACCTCGACACCGCACCGCACACAGAGCCATCGTCAAATACCGCCCACCGCCATAGCTACTGCACACCGACAAGGGCCACCACGACTACACACCCACCACCATTTCAAAAACCACACATCCCTCTCACGGATTGGTCTGAAGAGTCCCCAACCCCATCATCACCACTATCACCATCACAAAATCAACACCAATTTGCAACTGAATGGCGATGAGTATGCCGCTGCACACGACGGTTTGAGCACCGTGCACAGTAGTGATCTGTGCGAGGCGAACTTCATCACTATCGCTGTGCACGGAACCGCCACCATTGCACCCAAAGCACACACACCCACCACCATCGCATCCAACCACACCACCATCTCGCAGATCGATCTGAAGAGTCTTTAACCCCAGAACCACCACCACCACCACCACCACCACAAAATCAACACCAATTTGAAATTGAACGCTGCTGGAGTGACGCTCACAGCAGTGATGGATTCAACACTGCTGGTCAGTACCCGCCATTGAAAAGAACAGAGAGTAGCGGTGGTGGTTTTGTGAGACCAATATTTGGGGGTGGGGAGAGTGAGGAGAGAGCGAAAGTATGAAATTAGGGTTCGAAATGTCTGATTTGTGAATAATGAAAATTCATCTCTAATTTTTAAATTGTAGTCTTTAAACTTGTGGAATTATGTAATTTCCACAATAAACATACCAATGCATGAACTAAAGGCACTTTATAAAAGCATTTTATGACTAATTTTATCGTGACCAACATCCGTAGTTGACATATTTCGGCAATCAAACTGTGACATCATTGCGACGTCCGATGATGCTTTCCCAAGTCAACTGAAAACTGTCTTCACATGGAGCTGATTATATTACAAAGAATAGATTTGCTTATATAGGAGTAGTGCTGCCAGAATTTCAGTGTACCTTTTTTTTTTCTTATCATTATCCAACAAAAATCTATAAAGTGTATTCTGACCAAATTTTAACAGAATTTTTTAGTACACATAGCAGGCATTTTTTTTTTTTTTTTAACGAGGTGTCCCAGCTTGCGCCAGACTATATCCTCGTCCCTGAACCTCCGGCTTCTCAACAGCTCAGGGAGGTAAATCGCGGGATGTGCCCTTGTTGGTTCCCAAGTTCCCACACGGCTTTTACTCCTTCCCCAAAGGGAGCCTCTTTACCGCCTTACAGCAACTTGCCTTCCAAGATAAATCTTACCTTCCAAATTGTGCCTTCCAAGAATCGAACTCCCCATGCTTGGTTCCAAAGCCCCCCAATGTGATTATTCCGTCAACTTGGATGTGCCCCAAGGGACCACATATTATATTACGAATCGTGATCATAATGCAGTTGGGGAGGCTGATTGACCATTCAGTGTGTGCTTACATGGCAATCACTAGTGAAAAAAAAATATTGACAAAGCTACAGGTGCCCTGCTTCACAAGATCTGTACAAGACACACTTATGGGCGTGGGTGAGGTGATTTTTTTGACAATATTTTAATCACATGAAGTTCACCCCACGTGAGTGTTTTGTAAAAATTCTATAAACCCTACCTCTGTACATATGGTATTTTCCAAAAAAATATTATTACTTGTCTAACATCCCCATTAGTGGCCATTTTCGCCTACCTTATCGGTAATGAGAACTACAGTCTACTAATTGGGTTGGGCTTACTGAGAAGCCCATACAGGCCCACCAATTTCAGTTGCTCGAGTTGCCCAATAATTGAAAGTTTGGACTACAAGGACATCTAGAGTTGGACTAGGCCCGTTTGGCAAGGCCCAGTTTCGTTCTTAGACGAGTGATGAGTTCTTGATTCCAAGTAGGATGAAACCAAATTCGAATTACTAACTAAATGCCAGGAAAGAACCTAAAACATACAATTTTGTTTCTGAATTTAAAAACTTTACATAGATCACATAGAATTAATACATCGCAGTAGATAATATTCAAGAAAGAAAAAAAAAGGCTAAAATCTTATTTATTGTACTAACTAAACTTTTCAATACTGTATACCATAGACACGTTACTCGAGATTAAGTGCTGAATTCGTCGAGACAATAATTGATCAAGATACAGATGAAGAGAAGAAATCATATCCATCCGAGGATCCAAATGGAACTCCATCAGCAACCATAGAAGCGTAAAGGTCCTTCTCCAAATGATTCTTGGATCCATTAAGCAAATCTGAGCTTCCAACATCATCACATGAGCTCGACAGAGAAGAATTAAATGTTCCGAAAATTTCTCGCACCTTGTTCAAATCTTGTTTCAGCCTTTGTACTTCATCTTGTAGCCTTGCATTATCTTCCATCACAGTTTCAAGTTTTAGTTTCAAGGCCTTGTGATCATCCTCGAGGCTCTGATTCTTGTTACGCGCTCGTCTATTCTGGTACCATATTGCAACTCGAGTAGATGGTAGACCGAGTTCTTGTGCAAGTTGGGACTTCCGTTCCGTATCGAGCTTTGTATTCAAGTTGAAGCTAGTTTCTAAAAGCCTCAGTTGCTCTTGAGTGAGCCTCTTCTTGTGTTTGAGTTGGTGCTTTTGGGTACGAGATTGAAAATTATCCATAGAACTCTAATATGCTGATAAGGATGCCAAAATTCTTCAACTTATAAAATTTGAAGAATGAGAGAACTTTATGATGAGAAAAATTTGGCATCATGTCCTTATCATACATACACGCCGTTTTCACGTGGGTATGGCCTACTCTTGACAATCTTCTATAAATGTAGATTCAAGGACAATCTTTGATTAAAAATAAATAATATTTTATTTTTAACTTAGTTTTGTACAATATTATTTAGTCCAATACGTCATACAAGCTTCAAATTTCTGTTCACTTACTTAGCACTTCAATTGAGGAAATATAGTTAATTTACTATAAACGACATTAGTAGAATGCGATACTAGCTCCCACTTAGGGACGCGTAGTTTTTCAAAATTTAAACAAAGGATCAACGGTACATTAAAAAAATCAAATCACTACTGAAAGACGTTTCTTGAGAGTAATTACAAGAGCACGTGATGTGAAGTGAGATGTATTATCCCCACTTGCTGGGACTTGATTAGTCCAAATGCTTGAATCTGGATTAATAGCTGTGGGGTACAAATTGGCGTATGAAGAAACAAGACAATTGAGTGAGCCTAAAGATAAGAAACCTGCACATTCCAGTTTTGATAATTTGACTTTCATTGGAAAAGTGCATGAACATTGCATAAAGTATATAGAGTCAGATACATTTAGGGTCGGAATTGCGCCCTGGGCCCCTGTCTACGCCCTCAGATTTCAACTTCTTACTACTACTAGACAACTTTTGAGTAGTGATTTAACCGTGATTAGAAGCAAGTGGGGTTATTACTTATTATTGATCCATTGCCACCCTTGACTAAAAGGGTAAGGGTAAAATGACCCATCCTAGTCCGCCAGACTTCTAGGGATCGGTGCACATGGAAATTTTTTAATGGGCGTGCTATATGAACACGGGCGTTGTGCGGACCTCCCCTCTTGGAAGGGGAGTGCAAATGGCAAATTTCTTTTTTAATTCTTCAATTTTCTGCATCAAATCTCCCTTCAAGTGAGTAATTGCGTAGGGGATCCTCGTGTTGGAAAATTGGGATATAGAAATCCAAACTTTTAAATCAAAATATTTTTTTTCCCTTCTTTGATTATACAAAAATTGCCCAACATACATTTCTTAAGAGTCTGTCTAGCTCAACTCTCAATTTTAGTCCATCCTAAAATGAAGTTACAGGTTCGCCTTCCTTTAATAGCCATCGGCATTGAATTCGATGAGTGTGTTGCTGCTGGAAGACTTGCGGGATGTTTCCACTCTTTGACACACTTAGATCTGATACAACTTGTTCCACCTTGATTTTGTCCAGATCAATGGAGCCAATAACTCCCCAAGTTTAAGGTCAAAGTCCTTAGAATATTGTGTTATTAAAAATTATAATAATGTTATTTATAGTGAAAATTATCGATAATCGTCATGATATACACATGACAATTTATTATTTGATGTACAATTGTGGCAGTTTTTTATTGCCTTAACAAACTATTCGATGTAATAATATTTGACTACAAATGCCAAGTTTGAAACTTTGCCATTGCATATTGAAGAAAAAATTTTGGTCTTCATTTTGTAAAAAATCGGTTTTGATTTCTTATAAAACCGTCAGGTTTGGCCATGCATTGAGTGGTTCGCTTAATATTTAATTGGTATCACTTAGAGCAACTGGACCAGACCACAGTCCGGTTTGCTGATTCTCGGATCGGACCGATGAGTCCAATCCGATTTTAGTAATTATGTTGAATGGATTTAGGAATATTTTGTACTCATAAGAAAAAATAGAAAAATATGCATTATAAATATCATTCTGGATATTCAAACCGCCTTTACTTACATATCTAACATACAGAATTTGCGATAAATCATTTGTAAGAAATTCTTCATATTTGACCAATTCAAAGTGAAAAATGTGATTGTTATATTAGCAATCCAGCACTTTTCCACGCCAATTTTATTCATATAATAATATGTACATGGGCTTCATCTGCACATCTTGGTGAACCCAATTTACAATGTGCACTTCATCTTTACTAATTACTATTGTTACAACACTACTATATAGTCAAGTATGTTTAAGCAAAATTTTAACTTGATCATCGACGTCTAAAAAGTTCCAATTTTGTCATTTTTAAGTTACAAATGAGTGTTTAGTCTAATCCCTCTATCCAAATTCGGTATCCTTGAGTAAGTACAAAATATCAATGCATCTTCTCCGCCTCTACTTTTTAAAACATTCTACGCGAACCAAACTCACAGATTGCGCCTTAAATTTTCAGCCTCGATATTGAAAAAAAAAATGTTTTAAACCCTGAGTTAGCACCCTTCGCGTATTTACTTCTTAAATTAGAAGGCTAAAAAGGAAGTTGTTATCCCTTATGAAGCATGAATTGAATTCACAAGGCATCAGTTTGATGTTGATCTTTGACGTGTAGGATTGACCAGTTAATGGGCTTGTGGAAATGGACAAACGAATCAAATTGAAACTCATTTGTAACTTTAGAGACTAAATTGGAACATTCTTAAACTTCAGTTACCAATTTGAAATTTCTCTTAAACTTCAATATCCAAATGTGTATTTTACTCCACTACTATATGACAGCTATTTACAACTACAAAGGCAACGGGTGGGCAAGCGTGTATACCGGAGATTTTTATTGCCTCGATCCCCTCTTAAGGGCGGGTGTAGGGGACTACCCCATTTTTATGTTTTACTATAAATTCTATAGATTGTTATCAATAAATTTGAAAATATTTTGAATACTTAGATTGTTATTTTCGATTTATAATAAAAAAAAATAAAAAATTTTAATAATGAACTAAAACTGAAAAATGTCAATAATATTGGAAAGAATGTCTATAAATAATGTAGTTTTGTTTCAACTATGTGTCTAAGTTATATACAAGTATTTATGATTCAAAATATATAATAAATATTTAAAAATAATAATTAAAAATTTACATTTTAAATGGCTTGAAGCTAGGAGGGATGAGCATCCTTGGGGCTTGAGTTTGGCTGGACAAATTGTCATCCCTATGTGATTATAACATGTTTAGTAAATATGCTTTGAGCGATGAATAAGTATATTATCATAGTTGTAGCATTTACAAAATGTATGATTAAAATTAAAGTTTGATTTTAATTTTTAAATTATAATATCATTACCAAACAAGCAATTAATGCTATGTATTAAACTTTGATATATATAAATTTTTTATATAAAACAGATTTTGATTTGGATATTGAAATAAGAAATAAATAAAAGATAGCGTTGTAGCAACCACCCCATTATGGAAAGTGGGGAAGATGTTGATAAAAAAATGGAGTTTGTCTATTTGTCCAATGGTGCACGGACCCCTCACATGAAGACTGACATTCCGATGTACAAATAGAAAAACTCTAAAAAAATAATAAGGGCATATTGAACTATTTGGACAAGACAGCCCCTTCCTAACCTCTCTCGAGATAATTGGCCCCATTGGCTCCCATTATTTCAAAATTTAATGAGTGAAATATTTATTATTATTATTATTATTTTTTATTATTTTTTATTTTTTTTGGGGAAGAGTTGGTGGTTTTAAAAGAAGAAATTTTTTTTCGATTTTTATGTAATATTATTTTATGAAAGATTTTGTGGTTGAAAATATAAGAAAGAAAAAATTAATTTAACGGGAGCCAAAATGAGCTAAAATTAGTAGGCCCCACAGTGCCCCACTTTCCCACCACTTTCATTTTCCAACCTTGAAAAACATATTTGATATCCTCTTTGATATTGATTAAAATCAAAATTTTAATTCAGATGAAAATTATTAATTCATTTTAATCATATATTTTATGGAACTCACAACTTTTCAATTATATATCATGTTAACTTTTGTCAAAACATACTCAAATCTAATTTTAACATCGATCAAACAAGGACTAATTAATTCATCTTTTTTATGAGTTAAATGTCTAAAATTTCATTGTTAATTATTGAAGTATCATACTATTTCATTTTAAAAGAAATCATGTTGACGAGATAGTATAATAAGGAATAACACGGCCAAATAATCTGAAAGGCTAATTGTCGTCACATGATACTTAACGGTCCTAACTCTACCACCGTGCAAGTTAACCTTCCTAGCACGTTAATTCCTCTCACAAAGTCGCAAATTCTTAATTAAAGAAGACCACCTTTGTATTATTACACAGAAACAGTCTCAATAAAGACAAGATTCTCATCTCTCTACTCTTTAAAGTCAAATGGAGTCTCGCGCGTTTACCGGCGCCACCGCCACTTGCGGCCTCCCACTTCTCCAGAAGTTGGTGGCGAGGCTCACCACCACCTACAGTCTCCCTACCTTGAGGCCCAATGAAGACTTAGCAACGGCGGGAACTTGATATGGTTAAGACAGTCACGACCAACTATTTTACTTGAAACCTTATCGGTGAATGTGATATCTCCTGTATCGAAGAGGGAAAGTCTTCGTCCTTGCTTGGCCGTGACTTTTTCGTCGGCTATTTCGCCGAGTGAGGTCCATTTGTATACAGAAGCGGACCTATGAAATTTTTCCAGTGCGGGTGATATTAATAGAAGTGAAAAAATAACAACATTATACTAAAAATGAAACACTTTATAGTTTTTCTTTACTAGTTTTCATACATTGATATCTTTGTACAATCACTTCATTATTAAAATCGATAGGAAGTTGTGCAACATGAAAATAGTCTCTATTTGACATCCACATCAATGTTTTCCCCATCCCCAAGAGATTTTCTTTTATAAAATCTTTCCACGACTATTTTCACTATGAAGTAAACAAGAGTTAATTTAAGATGTGCCATATCATAGAAGAACGTCTAATACATACAACAGGATGAGGCAAGATAGAAGCAAAGAAGCAAAATAATCCAAACAATTCAAACTCACAGCCACATATTCATATCATATAGGAAAATAATCTAAAACTAATTCAAAAATTATGTTCCCTGGGAAAATAATTCTTTGCACAATATGT